ATTGAGTGCAGAGGGAGGACTGCGTGCAGAGGGAGGACTGAGTGCAGGGTGGAGGACTGAGTGCAGAGGGAGGACTGAGTGCAGAGGGAGGACTGAGTGCAGAGGGAGGACTGAGTGCAGGGTGGAGGACTGAATGCAGAGGGAGGACTGAGTACAGAGGGAGGACTGAGTGCAGAGGGAGGACTGAGTGCAGAGGGAGGACTGAGTGCATGGTGGAGGACTGAGTGCAGAGGGAGGATTGAGTGCAGAGGGAGGACTGAGTGCAGAGTAGTCAAAGAAAAGTTCCAATCTATCTTTCTAACAATTTTATATGTATCACATGAAATCATATGAAAATACATAATTACAGGAGAGACAGATGGTCATAACTGGAGATTTTAACTTTCCCTAAGAATTATTACAGATCACATATTCAAAATAAAAAGGTATAAGCCATTAAAGAAAAAAAACAAGCATTAAAACATCCAAGGTTAGTTCCACCAGTCTGGTACTTTTAATGTGTTATGTAGATAAAGCTTGGGCAACAACCAAAGGTAATCAGATAAACCTTGCCTAGACATATATTATGCTCCTTGAGCTAGCTATATGTATAATTTGTCAGTAGGTTGTTTGGTTAATATAGTTCCCTCTGCTTTTTTTTAAAACTAGCTAGGCATTATTTATCTATCGCATTGTCTAACGCTTCCACCATGATTTCCCCATTTAATGTGCCCCCAGTTTTCCCATTTCTCCCTTAATAATACCCTTTTCCTATACTTTGAGGCCTATTTAATCTGGTCAGAGGGACTTAAAGGACAGTTTTTGCTCCTTGCCCTCCAAGGTCAACTAAGTTCCAGGGAACTATGAGCATCTCTCAAAATGCCCTGTAACTGTGGTGAGTCACCTGTCCTCTTGATCAAGGAGGACATGGAGACCCCCACCAAATGAACTTGAAGACGTGTCCAGTCTACAAAGAGGAGAGTCAACAAAGAGGAAACATTTCCTCCATGCTTCTAAGTGAAGGCAGCCACAGTTGAGCAGGACCTTTGACTTATCTTCACATAGGCGGAACTGGTGAAAGAAAGGAGCCAGGGGCTCCTCCCAAGCCCATGTGACCCCTGAGGAACAGATCCTCAAACGACCTTAAGA